TCCCTCCCTCCCCTCACCCATCATGTCGAGGATGCTCTGGTGGTTGGACACAATGATAGCAGGGCCCTCCACCTTGAAGTTCTCCAGTCCCTTCACCTCAAACCTCAAGCCGAAGAAATACTTGAAGGTCTTGACCACAGTTTTGATGATCCTGAAGAAGAAAAGAGCGGTCAGAGAGCAGCAGGGCAGGAAGGCGACAGGGTCTGCTATACCCAAGGTGGGTGGAAGGAGAAAGAGCAGCTCTGTGACAGAGTCCAGTCTCATTTTCCCTGGAGCTTCCAGCCTCATTTGCCCTGTGGTACACCCAGGTGTCTGTCCTGCACGGTCCCACATGCTCACAGCACTTCAGCTGCATGCTAAGCCCTGTGCACTCCCAGGGTGGGAATTTTACTGGAAGCCCAGGGGAAGCTGATTGTAACTTGGAGGCTGGTACAGCCAGACTTGATGGTCCGTGCTTTCTTCACACTGACAGCATCAGCTCCCTACAAGCTCTTTGGAAGAGGAAAGTCCAGCCGAGCACATCTGCAAACAGAACTGGAATCCCTCCAACATCCAGGAGGGAGAGATGCTGGTTTCAACGCTGGATCAAGGACAGCTCCTCCTCCTGCTAGTCCCATCCACTTAGTGCTGTTTGTTTCCCCCTATGTCATGGCTGTAGTCTGCTCCAACGCTACCAATGTTTTCCTCCTGCCATCAGCAGAGCCCCATAAATTGTTCAAACAGTTCTCCTAGGAGCTGCCACTCCCCAGCACATGTGTGTTAGCCTGCGCACCCATCACCCAAGGAAGGAGCTGCCAATTCTGCTCCTCGCAGTGCTGGAAGATGCTGCTTAACAATACAAACAAACACAGGGTGTCGTTACCCCAGGGGTGTCCAAGAATGGAGGAGAAACAGTGAGAAGCACTTCCCTGTACAACACAAGGATGCAAGCAGCAAACAGGATGCTCTGACACAGCCCGGCAGAGGCTGGGTGCCCGCAGCAAACCCATCTTCAAGCAAATAGCTGTTGCCTGTCAGTTTACTTTCCCAGCAGATCTATGGGTCTGTCCACAAAGTTCCCAGCTTTCTTCCTGCGTGCTCGAGGGCTGGGGGCCCAGCTGGCAGGAGACACAAGCAGCTCCACTGCCAAAGCATTGAGCAGGTTGAGGTGCCCTTGCTGAGCACACCCAGCCCAGGCTTGCCAGCCAAGGCCCTGCCAGCCCATGGGAGCAGGGCCCGTCTACACCACCCCCAGACAGGTGGGAGCTGGGGACCCTCCAACTCGGCCAAAGGACACAGCCAGAAGCTGGCAGCACACAGGGGCTATTTTGGGCTGGGGAGCAGCCATTTGCCAGGACAGGAGGCAGAGGAGATTGCGCCCGAACAAAGCTCCCAGAAGCAGCCACCAGCTCTGCTCCACTCTCCCCTAGAGCGGATTCAGGAGGTGACCTGCCCTCCAGCAAGCACCTAGATGCCCTTCCTCAGGGCCCACCTTCTCCCTGACAGACAGGGGATGGAGATTTGCCCCCGGTGGGAGAAGACCAAGGGACAGTGTCAGCTTCTCCCCCACCACAGGGTCCAGCCCGAGAACTGTGAAGCACCATCAGCTTGGGAAACATCCCTGTCACCTGGGGCGGGAGGTGAGCACCCGGCCAGTGTCTCATCCTGGCTTAGCAGCAGGTCCCAACATCTGCTCCCAAAAGTATCCCCACCTCTGCCATCAGCTCTTCAACCACACACCGTGACTCTCCCCAGCTTGCTCCTACCCACAGTGGGGTTCATATCTCCGTGGGGTGCCCCACCATGCCAACCACCCAGGCACTGGCTTTCACACTGGAGTTCAGGCCAGGCCAATGCCCGCAGGTGACACAGCTGAGTGACACTGCTGCTATCAGTCCCCGTCATTTAAACCTGCTGTAGAGCTTAAAGCCGTGCTCAGGGAAAGGACACAGGGAAGTGCACAGGGTGCAGAGCTCCCGGGCACCTCAGGCCTGCACCGAGGTTACGGAAGTGCAGTCCAGGTAAAGAGATGAGGGGGCAGGTGAGGAGAGACAGGGTGACACGAATCAAGTAAGGTCACAGTGGATGCCATGCCACCAGACTAACCTAAATCCCACATCTCCTCCCTTCTGACTGCCAACCAAAAAAGAGGTCACTGCTCTGGAAGTCACACTGCTCAGGAGCTGCTGGGAGAGGCTGGTTACACATTACTCAAGAGCAACCACCCAACTTCCTCCTGCCAGTAAGGAGCCAGCGTTTCCTTGCACAAGATGTGGCCTGAGCCACTGAAAGAGGGAAAGGGGCAGAGCTCAGAGCAGAAGAACCATCGGGTAAGCGGCAACCCTGCTGGGCTGGCCACGTCATCCATGGGGTTAAGCAGATGGGTCCTACTCCCCCCCCAACCCTGCAAGCAGCTTCTCTGCTGGTATGAATGATCCTGACTTGGTGCAGTCACAGCTGCAGAGAGCTGTAAATTTAACGGACTTATTGCCAGATGCAAGGAAAGAGTAGAAAAGCGAGAGGGAATGGGCCTTTTCATGCATCTGCAACAGCCTGAGTCTGAAAGCCAGCAGCCCCCAGCTTCATGTGCTCTGCTCCACAGCCTGTGCCAGAGGCCTTTTTAGGATCCTCTGATTTTTAAGGATTAATGAGGTGTGCTTACCAGATTGGAAGCTCTTGCAAGAGGTTCCGCCGCTAGATAAACAGCTCTATCTCTGTCAGACACAGAGGGCAACCTCTTCCAAGTCACACCAGCTTGGCACTGGAGCCAGGAGCACGGTGAGGACGGGGTGTTCTGCGCCGGGCAGTGACACTGTTATCTCTGTCTGTCCACCAGCATGTGCTCCGCTCCAACCCCCTTCCCTGAGCCAGAATAAGCAAACTGGGATGTTGTAGGAAGAGAGAGCTCGGTGGATCACCTCAGCCACAGACCTGGGATACATGACCAGGATCATCAGCCAGTGCCGGTACATGGAAACAATGAGCTTAAATTACAGGAAAAGGGTAGTTCTGGCCAAAATTCAGCTCTGAGTTTCAACATGAGGAGTTGTCCAGTGGAAGGAATTTTTGTTCCCAGAGAGTTCCTTCAAGTTTACAGGAGATTTACAAGTTTTAGTGGTGGAGAAGAAAAACAAACAAACAAACACCCAGAGTGTTTCTGTAAGTGACATCATAAATTCTCCCAGCTGCAAAGCTGGTTTGTGCATTGGAAAGCTGCTCCTGAGCAAGCCAAGGCAACCAAAGCTGGACACAGAGCTAGGCTCAGCTCCTCCCCGCAGACTGCTGTTTCCAGCTCCTGGGGCCATAGCACCAGAGCGGGTGGCAGACGATGGGCTCAGGTGGGCAGGGCAGAGCTCGCAAAGCAGCGTGTCGGTGCCCTGCGCCCGCTCACTCCACCCTGAGCCCTGCCTGCAAGAGCAAAGCAAAGTCCAGCTCCACCAGCTGAGACGCTGCCCAACCTTTGATCCAAAAGGATGGATTAAGGCAAGAGGGTTCCGCTTTCCCCCACACCCATATAACTTGGCCTGGACACGGATGGTTAAAGTAGGTAAAAAGCCGTCTATGGGAGAGCAAAGCAAGAAGCCCAAGTTCTCCTTTGCTGCCAGCAGAAGCGCCAGTTCTGCCCTTAAAAACGCGCCTTTGCCGCCGCCCCCAGCATCCTGTCAGAGGACACGGGCAGCAAGGCCTGACAGCCACAACCTGGCGCCAGGCCGAGGGCAGAATATCAACCACCATCTGCCAGCGGGCAGCCCTGCTTCTGGAGCGGGGAACAACCCCCAGACACACACCGCTGCCCTGCAGCTGTCCCCCAAACCCGCGCAGCCCCCGAAGCGTGGCCGCTCGCCGCCACCCTCACACCTTCCACACACCCCCCCCCTTCCC